ACTATTTCCTAACTGTAACTTCTCATATAATAATTCTTGTGATCTGATACAGGATTATCTCGTTTTATATATAGCTGCAGTGGTTCAGAGGTGTTTGGTATAGAACTAGATTGGGAAGGAGTCTATAAGAAACTAAAAGTACTGGGAACACACACAGGGAAACCCCTATAAGGAAACTGTCTCAGAAGAGAAGTGAAGAATTACTTCACAATGGAGGGATCGCACTCAGAACAATTACAGCGCTACTCGATGGACAGAGGGCACTCAAACAAAATAAGGGTACAATGGAGACTTCAATTGCAGGTAATGGCAACAATGAGACAGATACAGCTCGTCATATTTTATGTGAATGTCTGGCACTGGATCACGAGAGGCAAACAATTTATGTACAACCCAAATTATGTCTAGAAGAATATGACATACATCCAGCAAGGCAAAATATAAGTGGAACACTCTCAGCCTACACTGTCTTCTTGAACTCCCTCATCTCCAACTTCTAATGGAAGGTCAATGTAACACACACTGTATAGAAAGTGAAAATCTTTGAAATCGCCAATTATTGTGATATGGAGAATTTGGTTTCTAAATACTTTTGTCTTCTACTCAAGAATGTATTATACCTGGCAATTTTCTTAAAGCCTGTATGAAACTTTGTGAATCTCAAATTATACCATTTTCGGAATAATGTTCGGGCTCTGCCCCAAGCATACTCCTATGTTGCTAGATTCTATCCAAAAAAGCAACCTTGATAGTAACATCAAAGGATATTTGAGGACTTGTCTATCTTCTGCGGATATTCTCACAAGTAGAATGAGATTGATTCCTCCGAAAGTGGAATCGCAGTAGAACATGTCAAACTACACCTGCCTATCGCTTCAAGTTTTCCTCAATTCCCCTCTAACTATATTTTCAAAAAATATTTCATTTGGAAAGAACATCTTTGGAAGTAAACTCCATGAGACTGTTTTTTCCAGATGATTATAATCATTTAGCAGTGTATATGCAATTCTATGAAGAATATTTTGAAATGTAATAAATATAAGAACTATACATCAAATGAAAATCAATCTACCTGAATATTACTTTAACCCGAAATTATTTCATTTGTCATATCATGACTAATCTTTTNCACCACCAAATAAGGATAAAGCCAATGCTCTCTTTATGTAATCATGCCCATAAATAGATGGGGCTATTGATGTTATAATTCTCTCTGCAATTCTATGATCCTTACTCATTTTAATGATGGAGTTTATATCATCGTCTGTGATTGATTGTACAATTTGCTTGCAATCTTTCACTATCAAGTGATTGGCAAAAATGACTGTTGAAAATACTGGAAAACCATAATCAGTATTAAGAGCTCCATCAAATGTATTTGTATATATTCCAGTGATATCAACCTCATCTCCTGGTTTGCAACGGTCGCATAAGTCAGCCAGAAGGATACAATCCTTAGATCGGGGTACCCTGCCCGCAGGTATACGTCCAGGTGATTCTTGTAATGTAATTTTTTGATAATTACGATACAATGTTTTCTCCATATTAATCTGTAAATAAAAAATATTAATAGTGAATATTGGATCAAGAAAGATATTTACGTAATTATACTTTTAATCAAAATCATTTTAATAAAGATTCGAAGTCACTTCTAAAAATGTAGGAGGAATCATTCAATCAAAAACCTTTTACCACAATTGAAAGCATCTATTCTGAGTAAAGCAAAACACGCATAGAAATTACAATAACTTTTATTTTGAAAAATTCTTAGTTTTGGTACATTAAACTATAATGGACTATGTACAGGGTCTTTCATTAAATGCTTTCTATATTCAAATTTGAATAAAACAAAGTGTGTGTGAGATATTGATTGATTGATAATATGTTTATTGTTTAAGAATAAAATTCATGTTACAAATACAATGTCATAAATAAATATTAATATAAACATGAAGTATAAGATGTGAAGTATAAGTGTATAAAATATAAACGATTAAAATAAAATATTGACTATATATACATACATATGCAGAGGTTACATGACAAGAACTAAGACAACAAATAAAAATATATGTTTCACACACAGTACAATCGCAGTTTCATCACATTTTAAATTACAGGGCATCGTCAAAACATTCTTGTAGGTCATAATAGGCTTTATCACTTAATAATTTTGTACATTTCTTTCTAGATATGATGAAAGGAGTCTCTTTGATTTCATTGAGAAGTTTATTGTATATCCTAATTCCATTATATATCAACGAGTTTTGAACCAAACATGTTTTTGGAATTGGTAGACTCAGTTCATTTGACCGCCTTGTGTGGTATGTGGCTGTTGTAGCTGTAGATTCATAGTTAATCAAGGTGGTGAGCATCTCAATATCTCACAGGTTTATTTTGAAAACTTTTTACCAACTCTAATACTCAAAACAAAATGGTTTAGAAAAAGGAAAGTAGGAGACATGATTATTGTGATAGAAACCACCGGGCCACAAAAATGCACTTATTGATTTTGCTGTTAATTCGCAAATGTAAGGTGAAAATATTGATACTGTTATTCTAATTTCAATTAGTTGTTCAGGCTATTCTACTGGTATTACAATAGAACAACTGTTGAAAATGTTCCCAGACATTGAAAATAATATCTAGTGTTATTTGTTGGTAGGTATTAATTAGTGAATTTTTTATTTCAGCTGTAAAAAAATCAACGAGAGATAAATCGGGTTATTTCACAGGCCTTTCGATAGCAATCCTCCTCTCAATGTATCTACCAGAAAAGCCTTTATGGTAAAATATCGGATTTTCTTCATTGTAGCGTTTGTCATTTTCCATAATTTCGATTAGCGCAGCGTTGACAGCATTCTAAGAATCTTCATTTGACTTTTCTGATTAGAAAAATAGTCCAATCATGTGATCTCCAAAAATATCATTTAATTTTTGAGAATGTAAAGTATGAACCTCATAGTGAATCTTTGGATTTGTATTGGTCTAGAAGCAACTATAACTGTGATTTTCACTATGGAAGGTTTACAAATTTTGCGACATGTGATTCACTATACAATTGATTGAAAGGGTTATATTTTTAGGAGATTACTTTTTGGGAAAAAAGTTTTGGAAGTTTGGCTTTCACTTCTCCATCTTTATCCCCAATTTTTGTATATTCTTATTGAACTTCAATTTCAACAATTACAACTGAATTGCCTCTTATATAAGAAACAACTACTGAATTAACCATTACATAGAATAAAACAAAATCGCTACAAGATAGATCAAATTAATGTACTACAGTACCTATTGTACACCTTAAAAAGGTCTACAAAAAAGGCCGCCATGGTATATGTCTATCTCTTAGGGATAACCCACAATAACCATTATTTTATCCTTTACGTTTTTACAAAGCGATTTCAAGCAATACAGCATTAATCCTTATCCAATAATATGGACCTTTACGACATGTAATTTAAATGAATATTTTCGAAGATATTACACATTTAAATTGCAGGGATATAGCGGTTGCGGCGGTACCGGTCGGAGAGCCACCCGCGCGCTTCGAAGACCACACTTCTCCCTATAGCACTTCATGATTAGCAACGATCGTACGTGTTTATATGTATATTAAGTAGCAGCATTGCACCCGTGCGGAGCCGGGGCGGCTCGCTAGTTAGAAATATATATCAAGTCATGGAAGAACCATAACAGTTTCAGCTTTTTTAATTTTTTCCAGTCCTAGACATTTTATTGATAGATAGATATTTATTTAATCTCTTATGGTTGCTTTACAGCAGGGGTTCCCAAACTTTTTTGTACCACGCCCCCTCTGGTTATTTGGAGACCCCCCCACGCCCCCCTACACATATCAATAATTGTACGTATGGTGAAAATTTAAACAAGTATTACATGAAAAACGAATATAATAAAGCAGTTGTCCAAGAACCCCACCTTGGGGTGTGCCAATCTTTATATCAAAATTTTCGGAGAACTGCTTCTCAACCTGCACCTGAATAGATCTACCAGACATTTTTTGATCCATTTCTGAATTGGACCTCGGATGCCTAGAGCTTCCAGTTTTATTTTTAGATACCTAAGGTGTCAAATGCACGAGACAGATCAAAGAATAGTCAAATCACACGCTTATTTTCGTTGATGCTATCATGTATATATTGTACAAGATCTGCTAAGGCCGTTTCGACAGAATAGCCAGGTCGAAATCCAAACTCTCGTGAGGTTAATAAATTATGTTTAGTTAGGTATGATGTTATTTGATTATAGACTGCCATTTCCATACTTTTGAAAAAACAGCTCAGCAGACATATCATTCTGTAGTTTTCCAAGCACTGGATATCCCCAGTCTTGAAAACCGGAACTGCTTTTAATATTCTCAATTTATTTGGGAACACTCCACTAATGACAAGAGTGATTTATAATAATGACTAATGTACTTGAGATATTTTCAATGGACTCTTTCTGTAGAATTGCTGGTATCTCATCTATGCCAGTGGAAAATTTCTTTCTCAAGCCTAACACAATAGATTTGACGTCACAGGAGCAAAGAACATAGAATTAGGAATTGTGACGGGTGATTTTGTGCACAGATCAACGAGGTTAGGAGAGTCTAGCTTCTCTCTGACAGTATTTTCCAAAAATATTTGCTACCTTATATAATATAAATTTAATAAACAGAATGTTAAAATAACGTTTATTGATCTTAAAAAAATAAATAAAAAAAGGTATAAAAATATAGATATAAAATGGTTGGGTTGATGATGTTAGTCCTCTGTTGTGATGGTTACAGGTACAATATGAAGAATAACTTTTTTTTTGGCATCATACACAAAGTTGTTACTTTCGAATATCCTGCTGTGATAAAATGGTTTCAAATCATGAATGTCTATTTGTCTGGCCTAGAATTAAAAAAAAATACATGAATGAAGAAATCATTGTGCATTAAATAGCAAGAGTGTGTTTATTTTGAGTATTGTAATGGAAATCAGGATATTTAGAAAACTACATACGTATATACATTTACTGATTTGATCATTGATTGTAGGTTTTCTCCTCGTCATTTAGTTAGCTTTTCCCCTGTATTTTTACATTTTTTGTCATTTTCAAAAAAATATCAAAAATTTATAAATTAGTGAGTATTCAAATAGATTAAATAGTTTTTTTTTTAATTTGCATTATCCTTACACAATGATTATTCATCTCACGTTTCTTACTAGAGAAAATTCAGATTCACTAAAATCTAAGTCAATTCTGATACTCAACGAGTAATCTCACAATGAACATTTTAAAGAGCAGAACAATGGATACTTTACCTTGTCGATGAGATCATTTTCATCTATCTCAATAGTCAGTGTTTCCATTTCTGTCACACTCCTTTGGAATGTCAGTTGATCTTGAACCAATTGTCTCAAAATGTAGAAAAGCAGTTCACTGTGATCTTTTTTGAAAAGAAGGTACCTTCGGAATACCTTCAAAGAAAATTATAAGCGTTATTTTTATTGATCAAAAACTGTATTTTGTAAAAGGCTACCTGTCTCATAGACTTCATAACGCTGTACTTCTGAGTTTCTACAAAACTTTCCAACACCATTCTGACAGCCATATTTACATCATCTTCTTGGACATATTCTCTGAGGTGCATTTTGGCATGTGCTTCACTCATTCTTATCATACTTTCAATGTGACGTACTGTTATAGGAAGACTACCAGTAGCCTACAAATAAACATTAGTTCACACACCTAAATGTACATAGTAGACATTACAATAATTAGAATTTTGTAATGCTTGGAAATATATCACTAAAAGCATGCAAAAATAAACAAATCAATTGAAGAATTATTACCAAAGATTCCTGCCTCAGTTGACTGTAGATATTAGCAACTTTATCCTGATCCATGTTCTGCAATTTCGGATGAATGTTTTCTCTTGCATAAACTAAATATTTTTTCAACATTTCCTGTGGTATTTGTAATTCATTTTCAGGTTCTTCAATTTTATCTGAGTTTTTTTTAGAAGGATGGTGACGGATGTGGGAATCAACCACAAATCTGAAAACAAGAAACTGTAGTAAATAATTTTCCACAGAACATATCAGCAAATGTTTCGAAGAATATTATTATAGCATTGAAAACATATATTTCATGATTTTTATTAGTGATACGCCGACTATTCATTTGGTATTCGACGTTTCGGTGCCGGATTTATTCGGTTGAAGTATTTCTATTTTCTTGGCTACACGACACGGAATACAACTAAAGGGCAAATCTTTTATGAAAGATTTGTTATATTGTAAGTCAAAGAAATCCTATGGAAAATGTGTTGAATAAAGCTGATAAAAGTAAGTAATCAAACTTCAAATCACCATTTACTTTCTAACCTCAAAGACCGAGGTACTTAACCAGCGTTTGCCACTTGATCTCCCTTACACAGACTCTCACTTTCAGGGCCGGAGAAGATATCGTTCTTCCCATGGTTATAGCCTGAGTCTTGTTCGGTTTCACTCGGATCTTGCATTTGAGGTACCAGCACTCGAGGTCGTCCAATGCACGTTGCATATGGACGTTCCCGAGATCACGATCCATGAAAGAGGCGAGGAGAACCGTATTTTCGGCGAATAGAGATACCCTCACATGGACCTTGGAAGGTCGCTTGTGTGTAAGGAAGACGATTGCGGGTCCTAATAATAGAATCGTCGTGAAGTAACTTGGCTTGAAATCTTTGGTTGTTATTTCATTTTTAATTGTTCAATTTCCAATATTTGATCAATTTTCATTTTATTGAAATATCATTTCAGGGTTTCGGAGTCTTAAATGTCAATTTTCCATGAAACATATTTTCGCTGGGTGGGGGTCAGATCTAAAATCATTGGAGATGATTGATTCCATAATTTCTTTTTATATTTCAGACAAGTTAAAACGAGCCTGTTATCTGATAGGATTATTTTTAAAAGGCGAGCCTTAGAGGAGATTAGAGTTGAGCACTTTGTCTATTCCACATACTATAATATATTTATGGCAAGTCACAAATACATAAATCCTTGTTCGGAGTTACAAAGATAAAATCATCTACTGAAAAAAAATTAAAGTAAAGATTAGAGGTCAATTAAAAGTGTAATTATAAAATTAAGAAACTAAGGATTTAATGAGATCTTTCACAAGTTAAATACCCTGTCACGTCAATATATTCCTCAATGTCATAAAAACAGTATTGGAGAAAAAACTTTTCAATAGTAGATTTACATTTTGCAAAGCCTAGTGACTTCAGAGACGAGTGAAAGTGATTATACAAATGTAACTTTAGTGAATGTTTCTTCCTAATTGTGAATTTATGTCAGGGCAGGTTCAATAAACTCTATAGATATATAATGTTGGAAGTGGCATAATGCCAAATTGAATAAAAAAAGGATGACAGTGCTTTTTGTAACTTGCTTTGGCTATTATTCTTGTGGCCTTTTTCTGGCACCTAAAAACACCAATACCATATGACATAACCGAGTGAAATAATCCATAATAGGCTCTTTTGAGCATCATGAAGCTGACCACAAACAAAACAGTAGAAATTTGCTAGTCACAGCTTTGATATAATCAGACCAGCTCAATCTATTATCAATAACAAATCCTAAAAAATGTATACTTTTAGTTGGATGAATCTTTGGATTGGAAGATACAATTATATTTTGAGTTTTATTTTCATTCAGAGTCAGCTTATTAGCAGCAAACCAATTATATGGTAATGTTTCTCTATCTTGCATCATTAGTTGTAAGCTAGTTAAGTCTTTGCTAGAACATGAAGTCGTATCATCTACAAACAAGGAACATCTTGCTGGTTTTATGAAAATGCATAGATCATGGATATAGATCAAGAACAATAGTGGACCTAAAATGGAGCCCTGTGGAAAGCCATGCTTCCTTTCTTTGAAGTCTGACTTTATGTTGTTCACTTCAACATATTGGCACCTATTTGGTACCATCATTACTGGGGCGGTCGAGACGAATGGCTTCAAATTCACCAACCTGTACCTCCAATATATCTAAGACCTTTTGGTATTGTTGTTTGTCAAATGAGATTCTTTGTAAGTGATCTTGGAACTGGCATTCCTAGATATCAAAATACAATATGAAGTTTTGTTCAGTTTGCTCTATCTAGAACCTCCATATGTAACTTTTCTATTTCTATTTGCACCAGACTTCTAGATTCCATATGTTCTCTTCTATGCATTCATGGGATACCAGTATCCCTACCATTTTTAGTATTGTCTACTTTAAAGTAATGAATTTACCATTGAAATTTGCTCTAACTTCTGTAGTTGATAATCCAGCACAGCTTTTATACTGATCACAGGGATAACCAAAGGTCTTAGTTCTACTGTCCTGCAATACACAATCAGCACTACACTTGAAGCATTCACCAACCATTGTTAGATTGATTGGCACGCTACTGGCAATATAAAATGACAAAATTTAAAAGAAGCAAGTTATAAAAAAAATTATTATCTTCCTCACCTAGCTAAGTGTTGATCTTGAACTGGATCATATTCATCTCTCACAACACACAATATATCAAAACGTGATAATATTGGATCTGACAAAGCAACATTTTCTGCAAAGGTCATACTAGCGTCATATCGACCACCGATAGGGTTAGATGCTGCAATTACTGAGCATCGAGCTTGTAAACTGGTCACAATACCGGCTTTGGAAATAGAGATAGATTGCTGTTCCATTGCCTCGTGAATTGAAGTACGATCTTGATCATTCATCTGTAAAAAATTAGCAATTGTAAACTCATGTATATGGTTTCATTCCTAACAAAAATGAATGAATAAATACAGGAAATTTTAATTATTGTTCATTTTCTCAGGAAAATAGAGTACCCATATCTGAATTTATTGGTTTATTGGGCATTAAAAATGTAAGTCATATCTGATTCATTCTGTTTGTTTTTGCAACATTGAGTTTCAACTTTTTCTTAGCTGACAGCTTGCGTAGGAACAATTCGTTTTTTCATCGAGTTTAGTTTGTGTTTGTTTTAAAAGTGTTTTAGAGATATATTCGAATATTAATATATTGCATTCTTGTGCTGATTTTAATTGTGCGAAAAGGCACAAGAAAATAGAAAGCCCATTGGTTTATAGATGAGTTATTCCATATAATGAGTTTATGTTCCCAAAGGATAAAATATTTTGTGATCTTCCGACTTTGCGTACTGATTTTAGATATAGAACTTATTTCCAAACATGATTTTTCGTGTACATTTTATTCCATGTAGAAAATTTTTCATGTATTGAAACGTTAACGGGTTCATACACACTTCCATAATTGAATTGATAATTATAGGCTTCGTAAATTTTACAATTTGGCAATGTTGATTATTTCTATTGTTCCTATTGGTCAATCGAACAAGAAGCGGGAATAGGGCGAAATGTAGTGAGAATAATGCTACTGACTTCGATGGAATTCCGGCGGATTTTCTACCGCCTTCGATTACAATATATAAACGCTAGCCACGAGCATATGGACATAGTCAAGTGGATGTTACAGTGCGGCACGCGTCTAGTAAGGCGATAGACTATCGAATAATAGTTGAAGTTTTAGTTGAAGTGTTTGTTGTATTTAAAGTGGAATGAAGTTGAGTTTGATTATTGTACAGTGTAGTCAGTTATTTTTAAACCCACAAGGAAAACGTAACAGAATAATGGTTCAGAAGTATTTTAGGTGACCAAACCCAACAACAACAAAGCGCAACATCGGACATATAATCCAAGTGTCTCGTGGGCATCTAGGTTACCAGTATGCAGTAAAGTTATTTGATATTTTCATTAACGGTATTGTCAAATATTTCAAAAATCATATTTTTTTATGTTCGCAAACGATCGTATACTGTTCAAGCCAATTAGGTCATATAATAATTATGTCTTCTGTAGATACATCATTGTAATGGAAGATATCATCGTTTTTTCTTACTCAGACTGATCCCATAAGAGCATAATGGCCTAGCACCATTGGTGCTAGGACAAAAGTGCTTAGCGGTTCGAAAAAGCATTACCTATGTTGGATCACAAGTGATTTGTTGTTGGACTCCGTTTCCAACATGATTCTATACATTATTTGAATCCTTTAGCGTTGTGGTGCACCGAAAATCACATATAACTGAATATAGTTTTATAGTGAAAGTGTGTATATTCAGTGAGATTTTACATGAAACATAAAAAATGTGATACCTATTCTTTATTCCATTAATTATCGTGAACTGAAATATGTTTCCTCTCAAAGAATCTGGGTGTGTTTTTGATGATCAGCTTCAATTTTCAGACTATTTGAATAAACCATATTACAGTGAAAGATGTAAAATGTATTGGTTTAATTGTAGATTATTGCTCGATAACAAGATCCTCATTTTGATAATGATATTGTTATTCTATGAATAGTCCAAAACACCCTAACATTATATGGTCAGAAAATGAATATTCCTATCATCAATCGGGATAAGATACACCAGCATTTTAGAAATACTCATATTGAACCACTGAAGAAAGCAAGGAAAATCCTGACCCTACTTCATAGTTTAGTTGTTTCTCTAGTAACCCTACAAAATACCTATTTGAATCTTCAAACAAAATTCTAAAGTTCTCTAGGGCTATTTCACATCAGTATGCATTCTACGAAGTATGTTTGCATAAACCTATTGACCATATACTTAGAATTATGAACGAAAGAAATTGAGATGTAACTGGTACTGAAAACTATTTTTGAATTTGTTTGGAGGTACAAACAAATTCAAAAATACTTTTGAGTACAATAATTGACTAAATTGAAAGGGTTATATTCATTGCCATAGAAAAGTTTTGGCTTTCTACTTCTCCATCTTTATACAAAAAATGTGGAAATATGCCAAAAAAGGGAAGAAAGCAATTACTTTCAAAATAAACCGTATACAAAGATGTGTAGTTTATGCAAATAAGTAACTTTCAGGCACAAACTGGAAGAAAAATCTAGAAACAACTACTTCAATATAAACATTGAATTGCACGAAAGGAAAATACTTTCGAAACAACTTATTTTATATGAACATTGAATTATACAAAATTCCTATTCACTTTGTATTCAAGACATTCGTTATGATATTGACTCAGATATCATTCACAGGATTGCTACACAATATAGTATATGAAAGAGGTAAAAATTTCACTTATATAAAACACTGTCATCCTCAGTGGCAGTATTGAATAACAATACAGGATAAGGCACTCAATTCATGAAATTACGACATTATGTTATGAATGACTTAAATATATTCATGTCATCGATGTCATTCATTGACTTATTCATTATTGAATTTTAAAATCTAATACATTGAAAGTTTTCATTTGCTTGTGGTTAATACACAACAATCATTACGTAATCATTTAATGTACCTACCTCTGAGGTGTGCTATTATATTAATTTATTTTTGTTAGCTATTGTGAATGACAGTTGTTATGTATTTCCACTTTTAACGCTTCTGTTATTCCATAATAATGATTACGTCAAAGTTAAGTAAATGAGAATAATAAAAAAAAAGGTTACTTATGTGAAGGTTATGTAGGTAGATACTTACGTGAATCCCGGTCGAAAATCAGACAACAGATAAGTTATTCTAATTTACGCTTTTGTATAACACAACAGGTATTGCATATTCAAGAACAAGTTCATTGTGAGATTCAATAGTTTTACAAAAACGCAATACGTATTTTGCTATACAATACCTTTTTCAAGCGTGTTTAACAGTTAGTATAGACACGCCTGAAGAAGCTATTGTATAGCAAAACACGTGTTGTGTTTTTGTGAAACTGTTTAGTGAAAATCTCACCATAAAGTGTTTCTTGAATAGGTACGTTATGGATTTTCATCAAATATCGGCCGATTCCATCACATAACAGATATTGAAGTAGGTACAGATTGGATCCACTAGAAAACAAATATACTAAATAGGTCAATTTTACATCCTTATTATATCCCTTTTCATAAGAAATACCTACGTTTTTTTTTTACTCGAATATTTCATGATGTGAAAGTAAATTTCATACTCATTTCTACAGGAACATTTCTGCGCCATCTCTTGAAGAGAATCTGAACAGGAAAGTAAGATTTCTCGATGCAAGGAATACATCCACCAAAAAGTAGGCACCTAATGGCACAAGCACAACAACTGTATAAGGATTTAGACAATGGCACAACCCTAACCAGTGATGTCATTGTCTAAAGATTGTCCAAAATAATTCTCCAAAATAATCTCCAGAAAATCAATGAGTTTGTTCCAAAATAACTTTTTCATTTTGATGTTTTGTGATTTTATATTACTGAATATTGGGTTCTTGTTACAATGCTCTATAATTTTCGGTGTTGACAAAAAATAGAAATAACTTTGCACCAAAACCTTTGAAAATTATTTCACTCTTCAAAAAAATTGACCGTAGTTAACACCATAGTTGTGTAATCCGAAATATTACCTGCTTTCAAAATAAACCGTC